ATATTAGTTCAGATGCCAGTGGTGAAGGTTTGATTAGGCAATGCGTTCAGGAGTACAATGTGACTCTCTGATTCTAATTATTTAGACAAGGCAGCATTTATTGAAAAAAAGACAATAAGCATATATTGATACGTACGTACATGCATGAAACTCAGTTTGTTAGCTTATAAAATTTACCTAACCAAAACATCAGGTGACATATCTTTGTGTCATTGCAGCAGCCTTTTGAATCTTTTAGACGCTACTGTATTCCCCCCAAAAATGTACTTCGGGTACATAGCATAGTACTAATACATGTGCGGTAAATATTTTTCTATTCGGTTTCCTTCCAACATGAATTGATATATTTACCACTTTTGTAAAGCTATCTATAATCTGACGACAGGCCTGAAGACAAATCAATTTCGCTATTCATCTTTTTTTCCGTCACAGTTTGAAGAATGATTATTTCTTCGATGTTGTTTACGACCAATAAGTAAAGGTGAGAAGATGAATAATCAAGTTTTATATTTTAAATATTTTAAGTAGAGTGAATAATCTCACACAATAATGTTTATTCATTGATGTATAAACTCTCACAGTATTATTATTCGTTATTTCACTGGTAAAAAGCCTAGACTTCCAACAACAAAAAAAAGTAATGAGGGTATCCAACTTAAAAATAGTTAGAACCGATTATACTGATAATAGGGTCGACTAATTGTTCTGTTGTCCAGTTAATTATCGTGGAAGCAATACCATGAACGCCGTATTGTCGAATAAGACACTATTGAATTCCAACACCACACATCAATCAGGCATGCATACCTAAGACATCAATGGCGCAAGTTTTAATATAATTATTCACGGAAAGGGGAATGGAAAGGAGGGAAGACTCTAATTATTTCTGTTCTCGTTAAATAGCAGCAGATCATAATGCAATACGATGATGTTAAACGAGAGCGGCCTTCAATAAATAGTGGTTATCGATAGGAGCCTAAAAGCTATATAGCAGAGCAAGTGTTATGACTACACTACATAGCGATGGAGTAATAATGTGACTCTTAAATCTAAGAAGTGAAAATCATCTAATAATTCTATTGTAGAGCATATGGATTATATCAATTTTCTGAATCCAACAAATTTTTATTCTCAATAATAATTTGTAAAATATTTCCTATGTCAACAAACCACCTGATCGATTAGTTCTTAATTTAGTAAAATCTTACTACGTACGTACATGCATGTAGCCATGGCCCACGTTTCTGATATAGTAATAATGTAGGCGCTGCCTAAAATTCTGACACAGGACAGGCACAAAATAAAAATGCGCAAAAAATTATCGACCGCGAAAAAAATATAAACGCGCGGATCGGATCCTATCGTCAAAAATCCTCGAGTTAATTTCAATCAATGGACATTGGTTAGATTTTTGTAATAAAGAGCCCTATCGATTAGAAAAACGTTCGAAAGATGTTGGTAGTGAATATCGGAAAACGTCAACTTATCGACACAACCTAGGCTCACATTTTTATTGATAAACATATACAGTACATTAGAAGTGAATGGCGGAAATATTGACTAGTCAAATACCAAATCGAAGATTGCCCTTTGAACGGATTTAAAATTTAAATTCTCCTTCGATTAAATTATTATCTTGTCATAATATGAATCATCTGCCTCATCAGCTATTTGTTGCATAATGTGATATGTAGATAAACCATATAAGCGCATGTCAAATATCCTATCATCAATACAATTATATGGAATCCATTCCAATGGGCATCATTTGCTGAGTTTGTTTGAATTTGAGATTTCTTAATAAACTTATTGAGAGTGGCTTATTGTCCATTGGATAGCTGTTTATGTCCACAAATGCACTCACTACACAGGATTACGTCGGAGTATTCCACGTGCAGAGCAGAAACATATCGAGAATAACAATAGTAAAAGCGTCTCACAGTAACAATATAAGACTTGCTGGCAAATTCAATTATGAGTTTGTTGGTTGCCATGTGTATATCTTTTAAATTGACTGTTATTAATGTGCTAGTGTGTCGGAAGTGAGTAACTGTTGGTGTGCATATTTCATCGCTTCCAATTAATTGCAGTGTTATCTTCGTTTCATAAACTCTATCATATGTTTGCTTGCGCATAAGCGTGCACACACGTTGTTAATTCGATTTTGGCTCTTGTTGGTAAGTCTATTACATAGAATTGAATCAAACCGTCAATTGCTTGATAGTGAATATCCTTAACTGAAGACATAGTTTTGAATAAAAGTTTTTTCAAATAACAATTGCTGCGAGAGATCATTCTCAACAATCATTCCGTTACATCGCACATTTGCACAACTATGCAAATAGTAAACAGCGCTGATATTAGAAAACTATCGTTTATTTGACGAATATAAATTAGCGTAGCTCTATATCATCAAAAAGTATTAAAGGACAGAAGACGTTCGCGCTTTGTTCCAATAGAATATAAAGAATTAAAGGAACGATTAAGTAATAAATAATTCCGGAGTAAACTACCTCCTTTCCTAAGCAATAATGAAAGTGTAATACCGTGTGCTAATTTTTGCGCAGCAAAAAAAATACCGTTGGTATGCTCTCTGCATCTCTTTAAATAATATATCTACCGCGTAAAGTAATTGTGGGCCCCTTGTTATTTCACGGCTTTCTAATTGCCAATGTGTGCTCATCCCTACTTAGAGTAAATTATATTAATATAAGCTTTACTATCACGTATATGATCACAGCGGCGCAATCTGCTATGATATCTGTAACTGTTAATTTCATTTGATGATAAATTATCCGGATCATTTCCAAGTTTTCTAGTTTAGGCTCTTGTTTAATAGCACATTGTACAACCGACATCCAACATCATCTTTATTAATACATACTGAGTTCATTGCTCCTGAGGAGAGCTATTACAGTTTTCTTTGTACAAGATTATTTAATTTAAAGATAATTTCTGGATTTAAAACCATAATTTGTTCAAAGAGATTGTGGATAACGGCGACATACTTGTAAACTGTACGAATATGTTGTTGAGAAATCCATTTTCTTGTTTATCAACCAAATATGATTCAATTGTGATACTTGCGCTTTTTCAATAGTATGTCTTAGCTTATGGTTTTTATTAAGCAGGATTTCGAGAACGTCAGGTTTCAGATTACGGCTGTTTTTCGAATTTCTTCAGGTGTCTTGTTTGAAATTTGCTTTTGTGCATAATATTACTGAATGAGTGAGAAATATTCTGCTATTTGCTCATTCCAACGTGAATTAAAATGTCCACATATTTGCCGCTTTTCATAAAGTACATGTATGTCATGTCTAATAAAGGCCTGAAAACAAATCAACTTCATCATCTATTACCAAATAGTGTTACTATTATAGTATTACAAGCTGATCACAATTTTACATCGACAATTAATCATACGACGCGTAGTAAACATGTAGATATCTATCTATCTACATAATGAAACAAAATTATTCTTTTAACTAGCTGTTACTATGTAGTTTTATCAGCTTCTTTAACTTTCGAAATGGCTGACTAACTCGGATGAAAAACTTATGGTCTATACGAACGCTATTGGATGAAATCCAGTAACATTCAAATGCCGCCGATTGTACGATACACTTCTTGCAACTAGTGCAAATTGGTAATTTGTGTATTTTTTATACAGCCTTATAATATTTTGGGTTTGCGTCGATAAGAGTCAAAATCGAAAGCATTACCACTGGAAACGGGATTTAACATAAGCTTTTTTTTACCCAATTAACCGAAATGGGTATGCATTTACTTGTAGTAAGCGATATTTTATAATGGCGTATTTAGACATGAGTAATTGGTTTATCCATCTCCCATTCTTTTTGTCTAAACAAGTAGAAATTAATTGCTTTAGTTGGAACCTGCAATTGCCTTGAACTTTGCTTTTATCTTTATTCTGTATTTTTTTTATATTTTATTATATGCTTTTAGCAATATGAAATAAAACCAGCGCCTGAGAATAGATTAGTGACGAAGTTCAATTGACATATAGATCAGGTATTGACAGTTTGAAATGCAACATTGAAGAGTATAATCAGAGTTGAAAGTGTCAGCATTTACTGCTGAACAATAATTATATAATGGCAAAAGAATTTTAAAAGAAAGAGTTTATAACAAAAATTATAATATAATCATAATTGCTTTTGTTACTTTTGATATATCAGTCCGTAGAAGGAAGAAAGAAAGAATAAATTTATAGCAAAAATGTTGATAACAGGCGTCGTCGATGTGTTACAAAAAAAGTGCACACAATAATGTTATTAACAACCCGCAAATTATTATAACAATCTCATAACAGTTTTGGGAAATATAACGTGCGTGCTGCTTGTTGAACCGTTATATTAAAAACTATATGCACGTACGTACGTATGTGCATATTGCGAATATACAATCATTATGGGAGCTGTTAAAAAAACTTCGACTACCTCATTATATCAAATACTATTATTAACGTTAAGTCAAAACTCCAAGCGAGTTAGGGTATCTGTTAACCATACACAAATCAGCATATGGTGAACGAAAGAGAAGAAATGTAAAAAACCAAGACACCAAATCGCAGAGTAAGCGGCAATTCATTATCATATCAATTAACCGAAGAATAATTAAAAGTGGATATTAAACTAACGCGAGGAAACAATAAGTGTTGTACTTTATGACGCCAAATTTCATATAAACAGAGCACCTTTAACGTTCAATCGTAGGTGCAACTAATAAAGGAACGCAAAACTCCAAATTCCGTATGAACGTTTGTTTACTGATGATCTAAACTAGCGGTATTCTGATACTGTTAATAGCTTCAAAGCTTTCGGTTCCATGTTTTAATATCGTGAATTGATGTAATTTTTCTCTTCACAGACGCGAAAACTTCATTTCATAAATACTATTTATTCGTTATAATATGCATAGGCGAGATGCTTGCGCAAATCAATAGTTATGCATACAACAATAAAAATCAACTTATCAAAATGTTTGCAGACGGAACCAAGCTAAACCAACGCATATTTTTAAAGAAGCAAGAAAAAATCTCTGCCAGGTTCGTTGTTACAATACATACCGTATACATATTATATATAAACGGATAGGGATGATACAATCTGGCTACAGAGAACAAAAGATGTGAGTAAAAGAGATCTACTAGTATTAGACTCGCAGTGGGACGTGTTCCTCAATCTGTGAAGACAATGCCGAGGGATGAATACTGTCGTGGATGGAATGTGAAATAGGAAGCTTGTAAACAATTTAATGTGTCGTTAGATTAAGACTTTTGGAGTACGACATCCCGAATGTTTTTAGGTAATTCGGGCAATGATTTGATTAGAGTGGAGTGGAAGGCGGGGAGAAAAGAAGAATTAAGAGCACACTATAAAAAATATTACTAGAAACAAGGAAAACGGATATGTATACTTAATAATAAACTATATGTATGAGCGTATGTTATGTAGTTAATCTAGGGAACTTTGTATTTATTCACGATGGGTAGTGTATGATAATTTTGAAAGTTCATATGTCAAATAAGAAAAGCTAGGGAGATGTAAATTCTCAGATTATGTCTAAAGACTTCACAGTATCAGTTTAAAATCGGTTTGCTCGAGCTCGTAATTCTTGTTAATTAACCAAATTCTTGGTGTCTTGTGGTTTCATACTGCTTTACATACTCGTCTGCTTCGTCCATAGTTTGTGAAGTGTGTCTTCCTAGAGAAATAAGTAACTTATGCAGTACATTGTAATTGAGTAATCAAACTACGTTTTGCAAGTTATTGATCGTCTCGGATGTTACACAAATTATTTGCAAAGAACGAAAATTTTTAAACCAGTCTTAAGCGGAGCGGAGTCTGAAACTTTGTACGAAAATGGATTACGTAGTTGATTTGCGCTCAGGTCTTTCCTCTGATTATGAAAAACTTTACGAAAGTGGCAAATATACGGATGTTTCGATTCATGTTGGAAAAGAGCCAAATAGTAAAATATTTCTTGCTCATACGTTGGTATTATGTACAAGGAGCAAATTTCTTGAGAATAGCTTAACTGGAAATACAGAGACGCCTGAAGAGTTTCAAAAGGCAGCCATAACCTTTGAAGATGTGAAATCTGAAACTTTCGAAATACTGCTCAGGTAAATCTCATAACTTGTCAAAAAAGATGTATATATTCATGCTCTGTATCAATAATAATACTCATTACACTTCTGTAGTTATATTTACACTGGGCAAATTTCCTATGATTCATGCAAGAATATAGGTTGGTTCAGCCTTTTGGATGGAGCAAGCAAGTTTGAACTGGCTGGTCTTCTCAATGCAATTGAAACTTATTTGATTGATAAACAAGATGAATGGATTCAGCAGAATATTCTTACAGTTCACAAGTATGCTGCATCTACAGTCTCTTTGAACAAACTTCTGGCTTACTGTAATCGAATTATGGTTTCCCATCCAGATATTATTTTTAAATCGAAAGATCTTGCAATCTTACAAAAGGAAACTTTAATCACTCTTCTCAAGAGTGATGAGCTGAGCATGGAAGAAGATGATGTTTGGATGTCAGTCATTCAGTGGGCTACCAAACAAGTACCTGAACTAGAGATTGGAAATGATCCAGATGATTGGTCATCTGATGATACTAACATAGTCAAAGATACAATTGCTGATTGTATACCTCATATAAGATTTTCAAGTATCTCCTCAGAAAAGCTTGTTCAATATAATGACTTGCTACCAAGAAAGTTGTGTCGTGATATACTTAAATATCACATGAATATAGATTTTAAGTCAAACACTCAGATCTTACCACCAAGAACAGGACAAGGATGTAACATTGATTCATTTATCATTGACAAGAAGCAAGCAGAATGGATCTTATCAAAGATTATGGAATCAACAAGACAGCTTCAAAAAAATCAAAGGATCTCTATAATACAAAATAATGCTTATAAATTTACCCTACTTTTTAGGCAAAGTAGAGATGGTAATGCAAAATTTAAAGAATTGTGTAATGGCAAAGGGTCTACAATTGCTGTTGGGAAGGTGTCAGGTACTGGAGAAATACTTGGTGGATATAACCCATGTGTGTGGGGTATCAAAGATCAAGGTTATGTTTCAACTGCAGAAAGTTTTATATTTGCACTAGATAAAAACATAGATAAGAGTATAGTAAGTTTTATTGATGATCATTCATCTGCCATTTATGAAGATACTAGCTATTTTCCTGATTTTGGGAGTGGAGTTGATTTATTTTTTGGTGATAACAAGCAGCAGAAGCCTTATGCAAAAAAAAGAGCCTACCAAATTCCAATAAGATCTTCTTCAGATTGTTTTGAATGGGCTGATTGGGAGGTGTTTTTGGTTTCAAAGTCTCAGATTACTTTATAATTATCAAATTTTATGCAGTTTCTCATTCTTAGTAAAACTAGTCCAATATAAATATTACTTTGCAATAACTATATTATGTGATTGTAAGTCACTATACAAATGCAAACCATGTTAGTCACGATAAATAATAAATGGATATTAATATGCACTCACTTTACAGCTGGTTTTGGCATATAATAGTTAATCTTAAATATGGAGATCCACAAATTGATACAATGATTAAGATCATAACTTGATCAGAATTTTTCTTGTTAGTGCTAGAATGTGGATTGCTATTGACAACAATGTAATTGTAATTGTATAATAATGTTCATGCAAAGTTATTTATTTATTGACTACTTACTACAGTATACTAGTATGTTAATCAGAAAAATTTTTTTTTAATATATAAAAAGCTGCATATATTAATGCTGTAGTCATGATTTATCATTGTCAAGCCTGTGTCTAAAAGGCAACCTCAGTGGTACAAACATTTCCGATCTGTGGCACAGTAAATATTTGGCACACAAGCGACACATCGGGACAGATTTGGTGTCAGATATAAATAGAGATATAGCTGACCCGATATATCCACATCTGGTGTCAATGTAACGATGCAGTGTCAAAATTGTGTTACTAGAGTGTGTCAAAATTCTATAATCGTGCATTCTTCCGACAAAATAATCCGAAAATTTCGGTTATTTGTGTCGTACAAGAATAATTTCTATTTACAGTAACGATGCGACCACTACCTTAATAAAATCCGCTCACATGATAACGATGACTTTATTATCGTGATAAGAATGCTTTGTAGACTACCTACTGTTAATTATCTGTCGATTCACTGTCATATAAGATTACTGTCTCAACGGGGTCCTCCCCTGTCTTCTGTATATGCTTTTTTCTTCATTCATTACCCAATATCTAACAGCCTTCTCTCCCTCTTTTGACATATACTGACCTTTGAGCATTTTTGATACAACTGACTGGTTTAAGCGGCATGTACGTCCAGAGACACTTCGAATTTCTGCAGCACACATTTTTTGACTGAAACTATGACTTTCCTTTTTACGTTCCTCAAAGATTTCTTTGAATTCTTGAAGAAGGCTTTTTTGTGCTTTGGTGAGCTTGATCGCCGATTTAGACCATTTTTACTATCATCTTCCAACTTGCTAACAACTGCCCTTTTTGAACCTATAAACAAGAACTTTTCAGATATGAGAATCTGACTCTGACGAATTACGTGAACGCGTGCATACAGATATTCATCAAGTGACATTAATCCTTCAGAATGAACAATCATGGAGAAAGTTCAACGAGTGGTTCTTCAAATGTTATGTCTATAATAAGCAATTCAAAAAATAAAACAGCGCTGACTGGCCTCGAAAAAAAACTCTTTGTATTAAAGCGCAATCTTACGTTGAAAGCATTAGCAAACTTTTATACCATTGAATAAATTGTATTAGCGTTACTATTATTATTATGTGAGCGGATTTTATTAAGGTAGTGGTCGCATCGTTACCGTAAATAGAAATTACATGTATTCTTGTACGACACAAATATCCGAAATTTTCACATTTGCGGTTTACTATTACTATATACAGTGTGTAACCAATATATGTATATATTCCGTTTTGTTAAAACGCGTATAACTTTTCCAAAATAATCTAATGAATGCAAACTTTTATGTTGAAATTTTAGCTCAACATATTCCTGAAATCAATCAGATGCTTGGTAAAAGGTGGAAGTTCCAGCAGGACAATGACCCCAAGCATCCAAGTAGAGTTGCTAAAGATTTTATTCAGAAAAGCTTTCCACAAATTGTGAATTGGTTATCTAACAGTCCTGATTTAAATTCAATAGAAAATCTTTGGTGTATCGTTAAATATAATGTTGAGAGAAGGACGCCAAAAAATTGTGAGATAGCAATTTATGGAAGAGGAATGGCAAAATATTTCTGAAGCGACTTTTATTAATTAAGCAGACTCAATGAAACGAAGATGTAAATTGATCATTGAGCGTGCATCCCATATTAATTATTATTCAATAGATCTATGGGTTTTAACCAGCAAGCATAAAAATTGACACGGTTATTCAAGTACAGTAATACCGATTTAAAAATATCTTCTTTTTTTTGTTACACACTGTATACACTATGGCGATTCCCTGTAATTATTAATTATTACATTCTCTTTTCAAGCATGTCTCTTACTCTGAACTACTACAACGCTCGAACCTATACAACTAATACATGCTTCACATGCCAAGTTTTGTGAAGCAGAATGCAGTACTATTATAAGGAAAACCGATTAAGCTGAAACATTATTATTTGTAAGCGAAACTATAGTGCCGGCCAAATGTAATAAATTCCACCAATAGAATCTCTGTCCTGTGACCAGTTGTTTTAAAATTGGAGTTATTATTATGTTGCTTCAAATTCGGGTCAATCATTGCAAAAGCAATCAAGTTTAAATGCTTATAACTTTCACACAGTGAAGACAACCCTATTCAAATCAATTTTTTTACTGCCTATCCAATATATCTATTTGGCGAACAATTGCTTAAGTTTTGGGTTTGGGAACAAACACACTTATTGATTGTCTCTCCCCAGATAATCGTCTCAGTTTTAAATTTTTTAAAAAGTTTAAGTTTTAAAACCATACTATTTATTATCGAGTTATGCTTTCCCGCCCCATATTTGCGCACATGTTCGAAATTTTGACACAAGTTATTTAGAAAGACCATAATTTAGAACATAATGATAGTAGTAAATTTCATTCACTGTCAAAATAAAAAGACACTACAGTCAACTCTCTTTATAACGACCTTCTT